ATTTTTTGAGTAGTCTTTATATTCCCAGCCAAGGATATGTAGCCATTGACGTGCAGTTGAGCATGAGATCTTTGTTTTTTCTTCTATCTTAAGAGCAGGGATAACCTCATCTTCAATGAATTTTACGAAATTAACAATATTTAATTTGAACTTGTATGTGCGTAAATATTCAATAACTTGTAACTTGAGATCCTCACGAAGTAGCAGAGACCTGATCTTTGCATGACGGTCACGTTTAGATAAAATAATTGTGCTGTTGTTAAGCCATTGATTTGCCTAGAAGTGGATAAGCCATGCTTGCCATGGATCTTTATTTAAGCTTTAGGCAAGAAGATTACTTACATCTATTTTTGTGAATCCTTGGTCCTGGACTAGATGGAGAAATTGACTTACCATTCGAAGCCGCAAATCATTTTTTTTTTCATAATAAATCTAAAGATTCTAAGGTAAAATCTTCATTATCACTGTTATCATATGTGTCTTCAAATGTAAGGTCTATATTAGGTTTAGCGGGCTCAGCTTCATTTATTGGAAACATTTCAGTAATCTTCTTAGAACCTGAAGCTGCTTTTTTCTAATATGTTCTTTTGTTACATAATGTTAATTGTGCAGCACCATCATATACTGGCTTATGTGTATTTACATCCCATACATGGGATTTTTTTGCATTTTCAACTAGTTGTTCTAGTGTATTTGATTGCAATGCTTTCATTCCATCTGTAATTTCATTATTATCAAAGTACGTTTCCTCACTTTCTATCCAAAATGTGTCAAATAATAGTTCATCAAACTTATCAGATTCAGCATCTGATAATTCAATTATTGTCTCTTCAGAATCTTCTGTTTGCTTCCAACACTTTTTAATAACTTCTTGAGACTGTCTAGTGTGTTTGTTTACTTTTGGCATTATAATTCTGCTAAGCTGAAATAAGAAAAGTTAAAAAAAACTGTCGTGAAATGACGTGAAATGTCACGATATTAATGACTCTCACGTGATCAAGATTGATCACGTGATTGAAATTTATCACATGATCGAGTTTTAATCAATGAAATTACGAATTGAATATGGAAATGATCAGCATAAATTTTAGCAGTGGCTTAATCATTTGATGTGACTAAGCCATTTGCATCATACTTAAAAATTAATTATCAAATATTGTATACTATTTTTTCTTCTAAGAATTTCTAAAATAATTATTATAATAAGTAATTATTTCTTCTAAAATTTTATATGTTAATATACTATCTTAATTAATAATCAAAATTTATGTTCTACATAAATTATTATAAATAAAATATTACAAATTAAAATTACAAATTAAAAAATTTATTTTAATTACTATTTTAATTATTAATTAAAAATTCTAAAAATATTTATTGCTATATAAAATAAATATTACGTAAATACATTTTATTAATTTTACTTTTACGATTTTAAGAATAATTGCTTTATCATTAAAAAAATTCTATTAATTTAATATTAATTTTTTTAACTATATAATAAATTATTTTAGATCTAATTCTAATTTAATAAATTCTTAGTATTACTTATTATATAATATGAGAGGGTTTCTAGAAAAATCAGGTTCTGAGAAATTTTTGACTAATATTAAGAGCTTAATACATTTTATTCTAATAATATCAAAAACTAAAATGCAATAAAATTCTCAATTTTGATAAAAAAATTTACAGAATCTGATTTTCCTAACAATCAACCTATATATTAATCAATGATAAAATTACTTTTCTATTTTAAAATAAAATTATATTTTTGATATATTTTCCTTTGATATTTCTAGTAAATAAGTTTATAATTATATGAAAAATAATGTTTAATATTATTCATCTAAATTAATAATCAATCAGAGAGAAATTTCATTATACTAGTATTAACCCATTGTATCTATAATAAAATATATATGATCACATGTGATTTTATTAATACTTTAATTATTACAAATATGTAATATAAATATAAATACATTGAGAAAATTTTGTAATATGATAGCAAATCTTTTTTAAATCCATTATGTTTGAAATTATAGATAAAAATTTTACTTATTATATATTATATTAAGGTATAATATATTGAATTTTATTATATATATATATATATATTCAGTTTTGTCATATACTTTATTAATTAATAATGACTTATTATTTATATATATTATAAAATGTTTACTTATGTAATGAATAATTTGTGATAAATAAGAATCACTAACTAAAAAAATTTCAAATTCTCAGAATATATAATAAAAATAAAAACTAAAGGGTGTTATATGATGTGACAAATATTTAAAATATTAATTATATTATATTAGTTGCTGATCCGTTGCTTTGCAATGGGATTAAATTGTATAATGTTCTAAAAAAGGATATTTGTGTGATTGATTTTGAGATTCGATATTGAATTTTACCAGAAGACAAAATTTTTTTTTTTGTAACTTTGTGTAATGTTATAATTTAATCATTATTATTTATACAGGGTAAATTAAACGTGATGGGAAAACAAATTTTTTTAATTATCCGGAACAAAGCGAAGGATAATATATGTCTATGCGAAATGAAAATTTTCAGTCACGTGATTATTGCGTTTCTCTGGATTTTCCCAGCGTAACCACAAAAAAATTACTGTCACGTGATTATAGCATCACTCCCATACGCCTGTAGTGTTTTATTTTTTTATAAGTATTCCAGGAACTTAGAATTTTTTCAGTTAAAAATCCTTCACCACTCTTAATTCTTAATTCCAAAACCACAGTTAATTTCATAATTCCGGCCAAAAAAGTCAGTAATTTTTTGGTGGTTACGCTGGGGAAGTTTTGTTTCTCTAATTTAAATGTTTATTATTACACACAAATATAAAAATTTTAATTTATTTTTGATTTAAGATATAAAGTAATTTTTTATAACTTATACATTACAAATATATAGAATATATATTATAACATCTTACTATTTTCTAAAAAAGTTTATTTAATATATTTTATGTAAGATTAATTTTTAAAATTTATAATTTAGGAAACATTTTATTTATAAATGATAATATACACGATTATTTCTTTGATTTTTTCAAGCGCACGACGCTTCTTACTTGCGGGTTCATCGACACCCTATTTTTTTTTTTTTAACAAACCCACTATAACCTGTTTGCTAAAGCAAACATTCTAAAAGTCCTCTTCACTTTCTTACGCAATGCGGTTGAGGCGTCTTTTCTTAGTGAAATTCGATATATAATGAAATACAGTCCGTGGCTAGTTTCGCAAAGCCATAATTAGTATTGCATAAGCGAATAAAATATAAATTCCAAACATTTCTCCTCATCTGTTGTGACAATAACATAAACGTCTCATACTCAGAATAAAACGCCAGGTCTGCGTTCCGATTTTTCTTGAGCATATCCAGGTTCCAGATAAGTGATAAGTCAGTAAATAAGAATTGAATTCGCGAAACTTTTCAGATATTGCGCAATCTATGGTTACTTCCTTTCCGTGATGTAAATAAGCTCTCGATGGTCTTGATTACGCGTCTATACTTTCTTCGCCCAATATGGGAAGCTGGATTCAAATGGAACGGCGCATTTACACATGATTTACTTCTTTTTTAAAGTCATCATTACATACATAGATTACATATCCAAATAATCAGATCATTAATGTATACATCGAAAAAATTTTCATCATGCAACTAAGTCGCTCGAAGAGGAGTTGATAGCTTCTGCCAATATACCTGCAGTAAAAAGTGGATAACCTACGAGGAACGCGACGAGATTTTATTGTTTGAAGAGTATCATGGAATTACAGAAAGTAAGTCTGTTCTAGTAACTTTGATCAATAAACCAAGCTATAAGAAAAATTTTTAAAAGCTGGAAGCGAGTCAGTTGATGCTTAGAAAGGTTGCTCACTCAAGACCAAAAAGTAAGTTTACTGAATTTAAGGAGCCGGAAGACGAACATACACTAACGGAAGAAGATGACAGTTCAAATGGAGAAATTACAAACAAGGATTCCTGGAAGTACAATCGAAACACCAGGCAAGGCAAGAAATGCATGATCCTGCTCTCAGCAAAGGAACCCAAACCCGTAGCAGGATTATTAACCGTAAATATAGTGGTCAAGGTTCTCGGTCAAAAAATATTTCCGGTTCAGTCGAAGAAAATGCTTAAATTATTTGCATTTTACAGATCAATTGAAGGATGTTATTGGAAAAAATGTTAAGGGGTAATTAGAACAACAAAACTAAGTAATATAAAAGTTGGCGACATTATTCATAAGGAACATTTTATTTACATGCGAGTGTTAAAAGTTTATAACTTAGGGCAGATAATTTCGAGCAATTGCTTACTTTATAAATCATGAATGGCTTTTGAAGTTTAACTTTGCGTCGTTACCTCGCGTTTAAAGGCTTCATTTGCCTGTGGTTATAGTACCTTACATACCAAAGATTCCAAATCATATTTTACGTTCTGATAATCTACCAAAGTTATCAAAGAAAGCTTTTAAAAGAACCTGAACAAAGTTCATACAAATCTATTCAAGCATACTGTGAATAATAATTTATAGTTTCGAAATTAACTAGCGAAAATTCTCGTTTGATTTTTCACAATTAATTCTGTAACATATGATCTTAATTTTTAATCATTTGCAAATTTATTCTCTTTTTTTTTTTTTAAAAAAAAAAAAATAAATGAATAAGTAATTTTGTTTAATAATAATACTCATAATTATAGCATCGTCAATAATATACAGCCATAGATGAGAAAATGACTTGATCAAGAACTTCTTTCACAGAATACATTCTACGCTATTTGCTGAACTAGTTTTAGAAATCTTACTAATTTGATCGTTTATTTTCAAAAGATCTCATCTAAAATAGAAAACAATTGTCGTTTTCTCAATTCATTTAGCCATTCATCCAAAGTGTAATGACTATTATCGAATTCAATTCTGATTTGACCACCCTCATTTATCGCTTCATTTTGCTCAATAGATTTAATGTGATGCGTAATATCTTTTAAATTAATTACCATATATACATTAACTATTAATGTTAATATGATTACTAATAGAACAATGGTTTCAATATTTGAAACTCTTAATTTAATAACACTCAATATATTAGTAAGTGTAGATGTAGTAGTTGTTACTTCTTCCTTCAAGTGCAACGTTTTCTTGTTATTTGTGGATTTTTGTTTTATCGTGTAAAAATCGTCATTGTCCACTTCTTCAAACTTAGCTTCTTCGATAAATATTGAAGAAGATGTTGGCGATGTGTCAAATTCTGAAAGATTTTGTGAAATATATTTGCGTACAGCTGCCTCTACTGTTTTATAATATGTTAATTGATCTTCCAATGATGCTTTCTCAATTGAGGCTAACAAAAGGTAAAGAATTAATTTAAAAGGAAGAACGAAGAGTAATTTAGCATACCTAGCAAGAAAATATATTTACCTTTAAACCGCGTAGGTTTTGAAAACTCAACGGTGCAAGTTACAAGTACCCTTGTTTTATTTGAATCAGCCCACAATATACATGTTTTTGTTTTTATCGTAAATTCATTGCCTGAAAGTACATCTGGTGTTTTCGTTGATGTCATTATTGTTACATATCTAAAGATTAAAAATGTGTTTAAATTTTTTTTTTTTATCAAAAAAAAAAAAAGAAAGGAAAAGGCAATTATCACACTACTTTTCGAAATCTCGATGTAAAACTTCGTCTTTTACGTAACATTTCGTGGTTTTTGGACCTATTTACCATTGATAAAGTTAGATTTTTATAACAATTTATTTAATAATTTATATGTAATACTTACCGATATTGATAATAGCTTTATTTAATCGTTTTGTGTAGCTGGCTTGTCTGACTAAGTTGCCATCATATTCAGTCCATTCACCGATATTCTTATCTGAATATAATTTTGTGGTAAAACAAAAATGAATTAGAAGGTAACTTTGATAAATACGCACGTCACTTCAAAGATACACACCTTCAGATTTTTCGAGATCTGTTAGAATTTCGGTAATGAATCCACTTGTATACAATAAATTATAAATTTTTTCAACACTTCCTTTAAATTTAGTATCTAATACTATATTATCAAAATGTTGGTTATTTTTTAAGCAATCACAAATTGTTCCTTGATGCATTAATTTATTGTCTTGTAAGCCTAATGAAGATTTGGTAACAAATTCATCTGATTTTGATCTTTTAAGCTCTCGATTCAAATAATATACGTTCGGAGTAGTTGGCGTAGAGTAACTTGAATGTTCGTTATTTACAAGTTCTGTTTCAGCTGAATTATCTGAGGCTGCAGCAAATACTGCGAGATTCATATCACGTTTTTTGACGTTAATATTCGGCAACGATAATTTTGTTATTAATTTATTCTTTAATAAACTTATCGCTAGTACTATAAACGTAAATAATTACATTGAAGAGTTTAGTCATCGAATTGATACGATCTTATTAAAAAAAAAAAGTTGACATTCCCTTACATTTTTCATTTGTTTTCTCTAAATCAGAATTTTGATGTCCAACTTGCAAATAATTTTGATTATTACTTGACTTTGAATGCCTCCATAATTTCGTGAATAATTCATACGCCGTGTCACGTGAAAGAAACGATGCAAAAAAATACTATCGAAGCGTGAAAAATTTGGTTGAATGATTATTTTACTTGGAGGAAAAGAGAGAGAGATTTCTCGTTACCTTTGTTTTTTTAGTTGATATTAGAATGGCATTTGGAATTACGAATGCGGTCATTTTCTTCTCAATTGCAGTTACATCCGAGAACGATAACACCGTCTACAAAAATGGTAAAAAAAGTTACAATTTATGTTCATTGTCGCAAAATATCGTATTCTATTTTCATACTTACATTGGTGACCCAACCAAATATGTTTGCGTGAAAACAAATATAATTTAAAGAAACGTAAATTCTTCCTTGGGCCAAAATTTCTTTTTGTAAAGCGCAACCATAATCATTAATCAAATATTCGTTAGGTGGAATTTCTTTAAATAAATTATGATAGTCTCGATCTCGTTTTGGATTGGCCCTAACATAACCAGTTAAATTAGTTCCGTCATCCATTAAAGTGTTTATGTCGGAAATTATACCTTTATTAATTTTATTTTTTAAAAAATGTTTTCCTATTGTAGAGCTAAGATTATGAAATGATGGAATATCTGATGAAATGAGACTGTTTGAGTTTGAGTTTGATTCAGCAGAGAATGATTCGGATGTTAAAGAGGAATCAAAAGTTGATAATTGATCAATTATTTTATCAGAAGAATTTTGCTTTGCTGCGGTATCTGATATATTAGATAAGTTGGAAAATTTGTCACTATGGAATTTTCTCTTTCTTTGGAAGTAACTTTAATAATACCTTTATTTAGTTCTTTTGATGAATTAGATTTCGTTGACTGATCGGTAAATATCTTTTTAACATGAATCTTTGAATCTAATGAGGAAGAACTAAATTTTCTTTTTGTCGCCTCTACTATAAAAGAGTTGCTATAAGGTTCCATTATCATTTTAGTATTTAAATTGAAAAAGAATGGTTGGTTATTAGTTTTATACTTTTGGGGGGTCTGTAGATTTCTGATATATTAAAAATGATCCTCGTTGGGTCAAATAAAATTCGTCCTTTTTATATTCATCTTTTTGTAGCATTGCGTTTGAAAAATATTTTGATGCAATGAAATCCAATTACAAATCGGATATTTGTTTTAATACAGGAGTATAATTATGGTTCGTAATTCCGATGTTTTTGTAAATTGTCGGATCATATATATACAGTATATTCATAATCATGCATTATTAAACAACGTGATGGTCACGCTTAATTGTAATTCCTCACGTGAAACCGTCAAGAACTTACTACATTTGATGGGAGTTTTATAGATATTCTTTTTTTTTTAAAAAAAAATTTCATATATACAGTATATATAAATTAATTAAAAAAAAAATTTTTTTCTACTTGCATATTTTTAAAATAAATCTATAATAAATAAAATATTTAAATATTTTAAGGATAAATAAATAAAATGGTTTCCCGCATTATGTTTCAAAAAATTTTCTTTTTTACTTATACCAGAAGAAACCTTACACAAGGCCAAATGAAGTTAAAAACAAAATTTCTGTTGGATTTAATAATCTTATTGGTTAGTTTCTCATAATAAAATTTGATCAGGCCGTCCTAGAAAAAAAATTATTTATGAATGTTTCACATCCGGTTAAAAAATTTATTAAAAAAAATAAACTTTTTTCTCACCTGGCAATCGAACACTCGGTGATCAGGACTAAAAATTTACTTTATTTTTCTCAATTACAGCTGATTGCAAAATTGTGAGACCACCTCGTGATTTTTTATTAATAAGCTTTAATTTTGAGTAGATATGAACAAATTAGAATTTCGATTAAATTACAATATTAAACATTAAAACTTTTCTTAATATAGAAGTTACATAAACTTTTACTCAAAAAATCTGATTGGTATTTGAATGAATTAGCAGCCAAAATAACTAAGTATTTATATGGTAAATCTTGCAATCTTTTAGTTAAGGTTTCAACTATTTGTCATGCTTTAAATTCTTTTGAATATTCTAGAAAAAAGGTAAAGCATTATAATAATATTAAAAAGAACTTTAAAGTAATTTATTTATATTTTTATATTTATAGCTTTTTAAAAAAGCAAAAGAAAAAACAAAATAGACAGAGCTTCTTTTATTATAAAAATAGAAAATTTTTCACTTGAATAGCTAGTTTTTGTTAACAAATTTCTAAAAATGAAAGGATAGCTTTAAGAAACTTATAGATATTCACTTTTAAACAAATATGCAGAAATTAAATGTGTATTTATATGAGATAAAGTTATATAATTAAGGGAACTTTAAGAATAAATGGTATTATTACTCATCATATACAAGAAGGACCTATGAATAGAAACAATTTCTAAAATATTTTATTATATGATTTAGTAAGTATATTTTTTATTTAATCATTATTTTAAATTATTTAATCATTAATACAGACTCTGCAAAAAGTCTCTGAATGCTTTTTGGCTCAATATAAAACTTTAATTTTTTAAGTTTTATTAAAGAAAATTTATTAATATATTTATTAAAGTATAATATGCTACAAATTTGGTACTAAATAATTAGTACTTGATCAGGCCTCCATTTATTTCAATTACAATTTGAATTCACTGTGACATATTATTAACCAAATTTTTGATAGTTTTTATTTGAATTTGATTCTATGCCTTTATAACATGTCAGTCAAGTTGAGTAAGATTAGAAGGCAAATTTTTTCTTTTACAGATGTTTTTTTGATTTCAGCCTATAGATTCTCAATAGGATTGAGATCTGGACTTTAAGCAGGCTATAGAAGTACATGCAAATCATTTTTTATATAAAACTTCTTTATAAGTTTCATTTTGTAAAGGTGAGCATTATCCTTTTGGAATATATCATTATAGTTTAGAAATGCATATCTCATAGTTGGCATAACATGTTTATGAAGAATAATAATATATGTAGCACTAGTAATTGTTCCAGATAATGGAACAATCAGTCCTAAGTCTTGTCTTGAAAAGTAGCCCCAAAACATCCAACTAGGGCTATGTTTTACTATGGTAAAAATACAAGAAATGTTCCATTTTTCATGAAGTTTATGCCACACTTAACTATAATGACTTTGTTAGAATTGTAAAAAGATCGATTCATCACTCCATATAATCTTCAACCAATTATCTTTTATTCAACTTTGGTATTTCAAATATCATGCAAAACGTACTTCAACATTTTTTAGTATAATTAAAGGCTTTCATTGAGCAAAACAATTATTAACCCAATTGCATAAAGTGTCTGACTAATAGTCTGAGTTGAAACATCTTGGCTGGTCTTTTTTTGCCAGAGTTATTGAACTTCTTTAGTGCATAAGCAATGATTTTTTCTTTATTGTTAGTAATAACTCACTTAAGCTGCTTTTACTGTGAATCTTTAATTAAGAGTAATTGACTAGAATGAAGCTTAGAATTAATAGTTCTGGTATCATCCATCCTTTTTAAAGTGTCAAAAACTGTTGACAATCTACAACTGATAGTCACAGCAATAGTTCAGTAACTACCACCACGTTAGCAACAAAAATTTATACCTCTGCATTTGTTCTGTTATTAATTCCTTGAACATTTTCATTATTTTGGAAAGATAAGTTTATTTTGATTAAAAATCAAAATAAACGACTAAACACACATTTATTTAGTTTGATTCAAGTAAATAAGATCCAAAATATTACATAACTAAAGTATTATGTAATCACGCAATATAATCAGTATGAAATAGCCCCTGAAAGATGATGTTTAAAGACTTTTAGCAGGGTTTGTATTTAATCTAAATATTATGCGATTACTTATCATAAATTTGTTTTTAAATTCAAATAGTATTTAAAAATAAATAATTATTCAATGTATAAATTTTTTCTTATATATAAATTGTTGCAGTATATAAAATAACATTAATATTTACCTACTTATTCTCTGATTTTAATGCAATATTATTTTATATATAGTATTTTATATATATATATTTGATTTTATTTATTTAATTTAATTATAATTTATTATTTATTTAATAGATTAAATAATATTTTTATATGTAAAGGATTTTTTTCGTAAACATCATGAATGAATAATAAGAAAAAGATGTTTATTATGTATTAAATACAGTATTTAGTTTAATAGAATCAAATAAAGCTAAAGCATATTTTACTCATGCTGATTATATTTAATTTTATTAATAAACTAATAAATAATATTAAATATTTATATTATTATTTATTATTATAAATGAATTACAGTAAAAAAATTAACTTGATAAATTATCTTTGTAATCTTATTTCGCTTATAAAATACGTTTTTATTATCAAACCTGTACATTTTATCTTTAATTTTAAGATCTTGAAAATATTTATTTTTATGGCGAACTTTATATATATATTATAGATGCCTGCCGAAACCTCCTCAAAATAATTTCGTTATACCCTTTTCTATGTTTTAATATAGTTTCGACAGTTTCGGCTTTCGTCGTATCGAATGGATTTTGTCGTATCCTTTATTATGATTTTAATATAATTTCGTCTAAGTTTTGACTGTTATTAAGGGGTTTCGTCCCTCATCTATAATATATATATAATTATTATTTAAAAAATGATGGTTAACTTATAGAGTGAAATTTTCAATTATGATAAACAACAAGCGTGATTAACGCTAATGTTAAGTCACATGAAATTTAACTAAAATGACCCAATCATTTTGAGTGTTAGAAAAAAATTTTTATATTTTCTTTTTCTCTCTCTCTCGACAAATTTCAACTCCTGTTACTTCATTTTGAGTTTGAAGATATTAGAATCTTCAGAAAGTAAGTCTATCAGAGGTAAGGTATTTTTGATCTATTTTCTATTTTCAGATAAGTCAAACAATTTGATCAGTTAATTAACCAATCAATGAAACCGATGAAAATCATAAAATTTTTTATTTATTTCCAATTAATAAATTGATTTTAATATCGGATGTCGAGGAGTAATAGGTTCTTGAAATTGCCTATTTTCAGCAGAAAACAAGCAAAAAGATGAAATATTTTTATTCCCAAAACTTTTCACTTATAAAAATGTCTGAAACATCCAAAGCTTATAGCAAAAAATAGACTTTGATAATTTAGACCTAAAACACTCCTATACTCTTGAAGAGTTCGAGTGTATCAATAGCCAGCTAAACGCTATACTTTGAAAATTGACAGACAGCCTGTCAGTCTTTTCGAACTTGGTGAAAACGGAAAATTAGTGCTGATATCACAAACTCTGTGCCGTAGAGAACAGGTAGTTGCAGAAATTTCTAGTCAACTTTGTAACTGGAATATACAAACTCAACAAGGTGGTGGAGTTACCGCATCGCAAGGTGGATTCGATTTTGACATTGATCATCAAACAGTAATTAGAGCACCAGATGTTGCTTTTATATCTCAAAATACGGTTCTCTAGCTGACTAATGAACAGGCTTGGACCTTCTAGGGTGCTCACTTCACCTTATATTTCTCGTCGAAGTTAATGATATCAGAGAGGATACAGATAATTCAAAATTCAAGGAAGCAGATAAGAGATTTAAGGAAGAACTTCTAATCTGAAGCACGTCAGTCTGGCTCGGCTAGTTAATCGATCCACAACATCGTAGGATTTGCATATACAGAAAGGATCAGAACCGTAATCATCCTAGGTGAAGAGATATTAGCGGTGAAGATGTCTTGCTAGGTTTTGAGTTGGATATGTCTTTAATTGATAACATTATTGATCCAGTATGTTACTATTCCTTATTTCTTTATTTTTATACTATAAATTCTATTATTTGTATATTTATGGGTTTATTGATCAGATACCATCAGTACCTCAAGGACCTCAAAGAATTTGATGTTATCCTGATTGTAATAATACTTTCAACAACAATTATGAACTCATAAAACACTTAGAAAAATTCCACTTTAATTAGGAGAGTAATTATTCAATAATAATATAATAATAGCTATATCCTATATTTTTTAATTTAAAATGTAATAAGCAAAAAGCATGAATCGCAAATACAGAATATTTGCGATATGTTAAAGACTTCTGGAATTAATCTTTGATGTATTTTACATATGGGTTATTACACAGCAAAAGGGTTTAGAGATATTTTATCAAAATTGAGATTTTTATCGGAATGAATTCTCAAATGTATGCTTTATTCAAAATAAAAAAATTTGGTATATATTAGCATATTATAATTTGATACCGGTATTTTTTTCTACGTCAAACTTTCATTCTAATTTAGATTAACATTTAGTATATAACAATCATTATTTTAAATTATTTAACAATAAAAAAGGATTTATTGTTTTGCAAAACTTTCATTACTTAATTAAAAGGTAAAGTTTATTTATTATTTTTTGCTTTGGTGAATACATCTGATAAAAGTAATAAGTTTTAATATCCTATTTTAGATAAACTTATATCATGCTCATTTGAAGCAAAATATAACTCATCTTTATAAGGATCATATACATATGAACGTTTGAAGATAAAGGTTTTAAGGAAATTATATCTAAAGACTGGTATGGATTAAAATGAACATTATTGCGAATTGTAGCTTCTGTTTTTACGTTATTTCCTTCCGTAACTGTTATTATCTCACAAGAAGATAAAGTAAAAGTTCCACTTGATATTTCTGCTATTAGTAAAACATTTCAAATAATGCAATCAATTAGAGAAGCTGTTTCAGTTGCAGTTCATGATTTTTCAACTGGAGCACAACAAAAACTAATTCTATCAGTTTACCTTGCTATTGACCCTTTAAATTCCAATGATGTATAGTGGGGTATCAAAAGTCACCAAGCATTTGCGATGTTGATCATTTTTTGAAAAATTATATCGAATTTTTAAATTGAGATAACTTACGAACTATCGCATCAATTTGAATGAAATT